GGGGTGGGGGTAAAAAAAGCAACAACAAAAAGAAAAGAAAAGAAGTGTTAAAACTTCTATGATCGTTTGAATGTGAATATAATAATATATTATGAGAAAAATTTCTATCGTGTTAGCACCAGAAAAAGACGTCGATAATTTTTTTTTCCTATCGACGATCGAAAATAATCGTCCGCGAATTCGCACTATCCAATATTTTTCCTATCGAAAAAAAAAAAAAAAAAAGTATATAAAACGTATGAAAGAAAATAAGAAAAAGGAAAAAAAAAAAAAGATAAGAAAAGTAAGAAAGAAAGAAATGACCTTTTTTCATCCTTTTTATAATCATTACGGATTATTATATAATTCTTCTTCTTAATATAATGATTATTATATTATTATTACTATTATTATTATTATTATTATTATTATTATTATAATAACGTAGATACGCGTACGCGCGTATATTTATTACGTACGCGAATGTAACGCAAAACGCAAAGTTATAAGCTGTTTTCGCGAACGATTTGAAAATATTCAAATAATTACCTATTTTAGATTTATACTCTATTCTCTAAACTTTTACGAAGTTGTGAATCATGCATTGTGATATTATTCTATAGCCTAACTTGTATATTAATTATTACTAAAGCAACATTACAAATATTTATGTAATGCTAAGCGACTTTCCATTTTTACTTCAACATTTCTATATTTATCTTCATCTCTTCATATTGAAACATTGTAATAAAATATTATATGAAATCTAAGAATTAATATAAGTCTTTACAAATTTTCACCATATCAAATTATCGTATATTTTCATTATTATTATTATTTATTATATAAGTAAATATATGTTTGTATAAATATGTCGTATTTTACACGAAAATGTTGAAACGTCATATTTCGTTAAAAATGATCGGCTTCATTTCTTTGAATTCTCTTTGAATTCGTTCGTTTACGATTAGCCATTGTTTAATCGTCGTCCAATTGAAAACCATTCGATAGATCGTTTCTTCCTCAATAAAAAAAAAAAAAAAACGATTTTCAATATTTTCGTGTAATAGAAAAAGAAAACCAAACGAGAAGATTTAATCAAGATCGATGTAGAAACTTCTAAAACACGGATCACCCGAGTATGATTGGTAAGATTGAATATTTGGAAAAGTATTCGGTGGCACCACCACCTAGCAGAGATTACTATGGCCTTAAAATTCTTCAAGACGAGGTTTATTATAAACTATCATATTTCAGGATTCATTTCATTCGTATAATAACCTCTTCCTCTTTTTTTCTTTTTTTTTTTTTTTTTTTCATCTTAGGTGATACTTTACGTTTGGAAAATATCTCACGGACCACACAAGACACCGATTTCTCGTACCATCAAGTTTATTGAATTCGATCAAGACAAAACTTTGCAGGACGTCATTAGTCGATTTTTCGGTATGAATTTCAATTCGTATTTAATACGTTCGTCGGTATGATTCCTTTGGTGCCCCATCATTCATATATTATTATGGATAACATTATTTTCATTTCAATTAAATAGGATTTCAAATTAGGGTCTCACGGTAGTCCGACGAATGCATTAAAATGGGGTCTTACGTTGTTAGATCAAAATAACATTTTCATTCACAAAGGAAAAAACGAATAATTTGTTCTTTATTAAATATAATTAATAATCAATATTCTTGTCCCAACAGTATATTAATATATATGAGTTTCAAAGGGAAAATTGAAGACAGTTAATAAATTTTGATGAACAAATTTATTTGATCTTGTTGAACGTTTCGTCCCTTACTGGGGACTTCCTCAGCAACTACAAAATTTTTACACATTGACAGAGGACATCATAATATGGATGATACCTAGATTATTAAACACTAATCTAGATAGAATTCAGTATATGATTACATGTAACGAAGTAAGGTTGTTTAGGATTAAWTAATTTATTATAATGTATGACTCTAAAATAATATGTATTGACGCGTGAACTAGGTGATCGAGGTAAAAAATTTAAAGTTTATTTATTTATTTATTTATTTATTGTAATGTTTATATATCTTTTTAACAAGTCATAATTATAAAATAATAAAAAAAAAAAAAAATTTTGTAGTTGCTGAGGAAGTCCCCAGTAAGGGACGAAACGTTCAACAAGATCAAATAAATTTGTTCATCAAAATTTATTAACTGTCTTCAATTTTCCCTTTGAAACTCATATATATTAAATATAATATTTGTAATATTTTTGTCTTTATTTCTTTCTTTATTTATTTTTGTAACGATATTTTAGGCGAACATTTTGTTAATTACGTTGAAAATCTAGCCGAAGGTAAAGGGAATACACTTTTGACGTTGCCACGATCATCGATAAGAAAAATCGTTGAATTTCTTAAGTTCAGAGATATCGTCAATTTATCTTCATTATCTCGTATTGCAAACGTAGTAAGTAACGATCATCTATCTATTAGATAAGAAAAATGAAACAAATTCATACGGAAAAAGGAAATGATCGATGAATGATTCATATTTTTTGTTTCCTTCTAAAAATCAGGTATTTAACGATAATTTTATTTGGGAAGCTTTATACAGAAGGCACAAGAGGTCCGATATTAGCCAAAAGGAAAAAGAATACGCTATGGCTTATGGTTGGAAACAAACTTTCAAAGAAAAGCAAATGCCATTTTCTATGGAATTACGCAAAGTATTTATCACGCTTTATGATGATCTCATATACATATATATATCGCGAGGATGAGTTTAAATATATTTGATTTTATTTAAAATAAATATATTTGTATATGTGTGTGTGTGTGTGTCTCATAGATACCAGGATCAACGATTAAAAATGAACATTTGAAAATGCAACATGGATTATCCAAATCCATGAGTGGACCATTCAAAACTGTACCAAAAGTATCGAGTTTGTCTGTGAATAATGAAATCGTTAGACCTTTGCAAATTATGCAGAAAAATGCGCAAACGAATTTGACGAAATCTTTTAAGAATAATAATAATGCGAAGGATGATACAATTAAAACGATACGTAACGACAAGAAAATAAATGTTACTGTTAAAAAGATTAATAAAAGTAAAACGAATAAAATGGGTAACGCGAAAAAAGATAAATTGTGTGTTGGAAAAACGGAATCATCGAAGGATGGAAACGTTCGCGAATCATTTTCGGATTCTATGACGATCGCAATACGACAAAATTCATCTACGATTAAACGTAATCAAAAATCAATCGTAACAAATGCGAAAAATATCAATGGGAATTTAAATATCACGGATAAGGATAAATTCGGTGACACGAGAAAGAACGTAATTAATAAAAATATGACGAATAAATCTAACAATGGAATTTCTTCTACCGGTCAACCAATGAAAAACAAATCTTTATCGAAGAATAAAAAAACGAAGACGAAAAAATTACTAGAAAATAATTCGACTATATTAACCAGCGATAAATCATCTTTCTTGAATGAATCGATGATCATGAAGAATGAAAATTTCGAATTGGCTTATCTTATAGAGGAAAGTTTAAAGAGAATTCGTAGTCCTAGGACAGTTTTTGATTACGATTATAGTTATCTCGAGGATGCGAGAACTTTAACCGATTCAACGAGAAAAAATGAACAAACTCGTAAAACTATAAATACTATGAAAGATTTAAAACGTGATTTAACTAACAAAAAAGTCGATCGTTTGTCGGAAAATTCTGATTCCATGACTACGTTGTCGAACAATTCAATTATCGAAAATATCAAATTAAATGAATCTGATCGTTCAACGAACAAAATTCCGATAAAAGAAACTAACACTACATCGGATTCGAAAATTGTTATTGATCGAAAAGAAATGTTAGAACGTGTTACTGATTTTAATGAAAATTCACCTAAAACAAGTCCTAAGATAAGTCCTAAAATAATGGATGAAACTGACACGAAATATCGTATTCCTAAAGGACCTTTAAATAGTATCAACATAATGAAATCTTTGAGGTCGAGTAATCCAATGATCAGATCAACCGCTGTATCCGGGAAAAATTTGCCTACAACTGCTACAAACCGATTTGCCTTGAGAAAGAGTTTCAATGATTTACGGAAGGATCGTATAATGCAAGACAATTAAATAAAGGATATGAATATCCAATTGAACGATAAACGAATATGATAAATGATATTACAAACTCGTTGTATTGTGTGACAAATTACAAAAAAAAGAAAATTCCCAAAATTTGCATAAATATGATAAATTACCATTCAATGTTATTAATTATCGTGGTATCATTTTGAGCATTAATTATTATGATTGCAATATCATGATATGTGTACTTTAAATATTATAATTTGACGTTTACACGTCTTATTTACATGGTCGCTATTTTTTGAAAATAAACTTTAGCATTTAACGCGAAGTATAGTAAAGTCTTTTCAAAAATTCTTTTTCTTTTATATTCGTTATCGTTTCTTTTACATTTCTTGCTCTGATATATATATATTAAATATATTGATCTTAGAGAACATCTTTTTTATATTACATGTTACTTACAAATATATTATTCTATTAGGTATATATATTATTTTAATACAATTCCCTAATTATTTACTTCAAAATAGCAAGAGAATATATGTATTTTTTATGTGTATACTTTTTTTTTTTCTTTCTTTCTTTTACAATAATTTCAGTTTTATACATTTTCGCAAATTGAAACGACGACGACGACGACGAATTTCGACGCGTTAATAATCATTTCGTCGATTATTATTAACAAGTTTTATCAAACGATACGAATATTAACGATTTAATAAACCGAGTTTAAAAGCTCATCGCGAAAAACTTTATTGTCTTTATTAAGCCTGAATACTATTATAATATTAGTGCATTTATGCCGTTCGGAAAAAAAAAGCCAAATAAATATTATTTCAAATGCATATAATATTTATACGCGTATCAATGATTAAGCATAGTCAAGATAAAAATATTATTTGTGCATTATTATTATAATAAATTGCGTTAATGTTAAAAAAGGGAAAAAATGTAATATTTGCTTCTAATTAATTTTAAACGTTAACGTAATCGCACTTGCAACGATTAATTTAGGAACACACGTTTCATTTCTTAATCACCGTTATAATACGTAAAATGAATTCTCGAATACTTTGATGAAATCACAACCATTATACATATTGAACAATTGACAATTTCTATCACTGTATTCGATATCAAAATATTACCTTGCTTTCCCATCTTATAGATTAATATTTCATTTTAATTGACGATATCGAGATTTGCATTAATATTTCATAACCCACATTCCATTTGTAAAATCATTTCTCTTTCTCATTATAATTTAAATAATTATTAGATAAATCAAAATATGGATAATACGATTGAAAGGAAACTACCGCCACGGTTCGGTCTCGTTATACATCCTTTCTATATTATCGCGTAACATTTTTTCTTGATCTGCAATTAAAAAGAAAGAAATATTTCAAGATATATAATATATACGTATAAAATTAATATTAAAATAGAGATAATATATAACCCTTTCGTTATACAATACATTTTTCCTTTTAGTATCGTACGAGCTTTTGCATGGGTATAATAATGAAAGGGTTACGAAATAAATAAAATAATATACTTATATATATTATATTATAAAAAACAAAAAAAGATATACCTTTTGTTAAATTTGCAATGATACATTGTTTTCTCAGAAACTCCAAGCAAAGGGCACGTGATAGACCAAAGGCGTGCATGTTACAGGTAAACGTACTAAAAATATGTCATAAGATTTATAACGATAGAATCATTTCATATATGTTAATTAACTTTCGCACGAATACGTACCCTAATTGTCCAAAAACTATATTAGCTTGAAATCTTCTGTCTTCTGCCGCTATTGCTTCCTGATCGAGAGATTTAGGTCTAGGTGGTACTGGCCTTGATGCTCTTTCGCATTGCACTGCATCGAAAAATGCAGCAGTCCAAAACCTCATTGACGACCAGATTGGTTGTACTCGTAAATGCGTGTAAAGATATTCCCTATAGGGTTCCAAACCTGGTACCTCGACTAATTCAAAATGAAACGAAGATTTATTTATTTTAACTGATTAATCTGTTAAATATCAAATTTTAGATAAACGAATTTGGGGGAAAAAAAACAAACATGAAATAAAAATTATTACAAATAATTCAAATAAAATTTTTCTAAAAGTAATTTCATATTCGATTAAAATATACTGTATGGAATTTAGATAAGTCGAGAGAGATAATTTATTACTGAAACAACACATGTGCAGTTTATTAAGATCCACTTGTATCAGATAAGCATTAAGAGGATTGCCAATGCAAATCAAGTTTTTTTAAATCATCTTAATAAAACAGGGCTACTTGGGAGTTATGAAATAAATTACAAATATCATTCATAAATAATATAAAAAGAAGAACGCAATTACACACATGGGAACCCCGTAAAACATTCACAAAAATTACTTGAATTTATTTAGAAAATGATTTCATAAAAATAATTATTTGAGATCGGGAAGAGATAAAACAAACAACTGGGGGGATCATAAGGATGATGAAAGATTAGAAAGAATCTTCTCGGTCAAGTTTTATTTAAGATTATAACTTACCCTCGTGATAAAAAGTAAAACACATGTTCATAAGACTTTTTGCCGGGGCAAAATCATCTGCCTCGTGACATTCGAATAATGCTACTGCGAAATGTTGAGCTAAGGAATAAAAAGAAGCCTCGGAGACACAGGCACGTGCTCTTCTCGCATTAACCACTCTGGAAAACCATATCCTACCAGATTCCGTCTGCAAAGTAATAGTTTGTTTTTTGTTTTGTTTTCCAATTAAAAATGATATTACCCAGTTATTTGAAAAAAAAAAAAACATTTCTAAATAAATATTTCATTTAGATTTTATCTCGAGCATATGACCATTTATATTATACTTAACGTACAAGAACCATTTGACCAAAATTAGCCTTTTGTTCTTGATCAATATTATTAGGAGTTTCGAAAAGCATTGGGACAAAAGATTTCATAAAATCGGCAGCTGCCTCTTCGGATTGGCTGTCAGCCGATAAACTCGATGCCCATGATTGAACGGAACCGGAAGAACCTAAAATTAATTTCATCGATAATCATTAATATAAATAAAACAAATAGCACACATTATATGTCATATTAAATAATTTCTTGATAATCGACCTGATCTTTGCCAAAATCTGCGTCCATCCATGTTGGAATCCAAACTTGTGCTAGGACCATAACCATCTTGATCGCTGGTCGAATCACTGCTACAAGGCATATCTGAAATAATATTTTATTAACCATCATCCTCTTTTATATGATCAATCGATTATAATCTAACGCGTGTTTAAAATACACGTAGAAAGCAATTTACATGTTTCTAATCGTGTCGTTAATTCGGCACGTCTCAATTGCGATAAATCCAATGATAAAAGCGGATTCCACAATGAAACGGCAAAACACACGATTTCTATTGGGTTTAACTAACGAAATGACAAGGATGTTAAGATGGTGTATGTGTGTGTGTGCTGCTGCTGCACTAATACACATAATCTCATTTATTCAATATTTCTAACTAAATGTGCACTTTTGTTATTTCCAAATAGTTATTTTTACATCACAAATACTACGTGGTATATCGTTTAATTATTTTCTTTTTTTTTTTTTTTTTTTACCAAAATTTTCCTCGACTATAGTTTTCTACCTATCAGCTTGACCTTATTGATTAGTTTTAATTACGTAATTAAGTCGTAAGACTGTATAAATTCAACTATAATAATTCATTAAGTAAAAAAAGATTATTCGAAACGTTGACTTATTTTCCTGGTGATACGAGTTATTTATGTTTCGTTTTTTTTTTTTTTTTTTAAAGGGAACGTTTGTTTTATCTTTTTTTTTCTTTTTTTCGAGAAAGCATCAGACAAGTACACAAAAATACGAAGGGAGAAAGTCGAGTGCTGAAAAGCACATATAGTATATATATATACAATATATATATATATATATATATATATATATATAAAAGCGAGAGTAACAATGTTAGACTCTTTTGATTGAAGAAACATAAAATAATCAGGAAAGTGGAAAAGGGGAAGCTTACTGTCTCACTATATAATTGCACCTACATAAATAAACGTTAACAAAGAGACGCGGTGATGATGTACCGCGTAATGTTAAAAAACCTGGCGTGGCGTTACACAAAAATATGTGACAGACACACTAACGTCTATTTACCTAACCGAAAAATGACCGTCTGATAGCGAGTCGGGGCCCTTGCTTTATTCAAAAAGGAAAGAAAAAATATGATATCAAATTTATTATTATTATTATTATTATTATTATTATTTTCGAATTTAATCTCTAAGATATTAAACAATCATAAAGAATTCATTAGTTGTATTATAATTAAAATGTATTTTTACCTGATTTGTAATTTAATTTTTCGTAAGGATCAGGTCCGGTAGCTTTAATATCCTTTTCCTGAAGTGGTTCTATACTCTCCTGACTATCTCTATCAGGACTGTTGTCCTCGTACTCATTAGATTTAGCTTCCTGTCTTTTGTGCGAGCTAGATCTAGACGATGCTATCTCCTCGTACGTCATTCCACGTGGATACTTTCTCGAAATTCTCGACAAACTGGCACTACCTTGTCGTTCTAATTTGTGCCTAGCCATTGCTTCGTAATCTTCATACGATAAACCAGCACCGAATCTAAAAAAAAAAGAAAAACAACAACAGTTACAATATAAAGGTTGATTCGAATATTTTTTTGTTGGTAACAAATCGATTTGTTTTAATTGAAACGAACGAGTTAATAATCATTGCCAGTTTAAATTCGTATGTATTTGATACCGAATGTTTGTGCGAAGAAAGTTTAATAAAATATTGAACGAAAAAAAATGACGAATAAACTCGCCTTGGAAGTCTCAATTTTCTTCGAGCCAAGTGTTCGACTTCTTTCATTGGCGTAGAACCTTGAGGAGGGGGCGACGAAGGAGTCGAGGACGGTGTCGTCAATTCGTTTTCTTCTAAACTATTACTCAATGCCGATCCTATTCTATTTCCTAAACCTTGAAGATATTCACCGCTACCTCCTAATGCAGATCTGACAGTTCTCAAGGCTCCTCGTGTTCGACCAATTAATGAGCCCCCTGCCGACGATGGCAATGCCGTCGTAACATCCACCATATCACCCCCTTTAATGGATAATTATTTTCTAATTAATATTATTCTACAATATTACGTTGTTACACAAGATATTTTGACTAATATTGTTATCTTTAATAAAGCTAACTTTTTTTGTTTTATATAATATAAAGATTTGAAATAAATTCCTAAAAAAGTAACGTGTCGCACAGGAGATTAATTTCATTTTCAAATGTGTTCAAGCAAAAATCATGTTATGCATATGGGTCATCTTAACTTGTATGTTAACTATAGATATTACTTAAACGCATTTAAAATTTACGCATATCTGTAGATAATGTAAAGAATAATATACGAATGAAAGGAATTATATTGAATATCGTCATATTCATACCGTATAAATGGTTATGCAATAATATAAGATATGTAATATAAATATAATTCGTCATTTATATGATGAAAAATCTTGAAAATCATTCGATAAGAAAATAGATTAATAATTTGTCATACATTTTGTGTTATAATGTTAAAGTGCACATGAAATATTGCACAAGATTAATGGATGTCGAATATCGATCGAATTATCAATAAACTAAGCTTATTAAATATCGTATCGGGTCTTGTGACGGGGTGGGGTGGGTGGTAGGAAGGGGGTGGTGGTGGTGGTTATCGTGAAGCGCATTTGTTCAAACGTTTCTATTTCAAGTTTTATCTATACAATATTACACGATCATTTATATTATTCAAATAATTGTTCATTAATACGTAATAATTTCAATCGAATTAGCAAATATTATACAATTAATTTATACACTTTATGATCGTAATGTTATTGTGTTACGATAATAATTAATGATTGAATTAATTAAACCCCAATAGGAAACCAAAGAGATTTAACTTAACAATTTTATTCTTAAATTATAATCACTGCGCGGATATCCTTTCGCGATAAAATTATTAATAAACTACCGGAATTTAATTTTATACGATATTATGTTAAAAAGAAATGTAGTCAAAGTGTACGTCTTAATATTTCATGATTTTATAATTGAAAAGAATGATAGAAATGAGAACGAACATACATTACGCGAACGGATAAACTTCTTTAGATTATTGATTTTACCTGCATTCATATATCGTACAGTTGCGATACGATAAGAAGGTTAAATTAACGTAACACTTGTTTACCGAGAATGATGCAAAATGTTCGGATTAATGTAAAAGAAAACATATGTTGCCCATCGATCACGAAAGAAATATCTAAGACAATCAAAAAGACGTGTCCATTTCTATTATTACAAATAATAATTTATCTTGCACGATAACGTTAAGAATTACTACGTTTTCAAACGCGATGTCCTTGAAATATTATCCTACATAGTCGTGCATACATATATCATATAATAATCGTGCCAGATAAAATAATTATCGTTGATTATTAATTATCTCCATAAAAATATAATTAATGATTTTTTTTTTTCTTTTTTTGTTAGAAAGAAAAAAAACAAAATATTCATCGTTATTATAAAATAACAAACATAGTTTCGATAATACGCGTGCCTATTTAATTCTAATTCATTGTCAGAACGCATTGCTAACGATTGATGATAGATTAAAAATGAACAATAAGCAAATAAATATGATGATTAAATGACGGTAAAAAAAAAAAAAGAAAAAGAAAATAAAGTACATTGACGCGTACTCGTAAGATTGAATGTAACTAAACGTATCGTGAACAGAAATAGTAAAGTAAGAAGTAACCGCAATGCAGTTTTATCTATGTCATGTATATCACATTCTTTTTTTCATCATGCGGGTACTTGCAAAATCAATTTCATCTTTATTATACTTTTTTCTTTTTTTTCTTTTCTTCTCTACCCCCCCCCCCACTCCTAAATTGTTCTAATTTCGTATGCAGCTATTGACCTTTATTCGAAACAATTGTTTCACTTAACGTAATCGAAAATAAATTCGAAATAATTTCGATTTATCTATATAACGAGAGAATAAAATACTGTTCTAACGATAACGTATATATGTGTAATATAAAAAAGAAAAAGAAAAATAATTAAATATATACGTACCCTTTTTATTATTATTATTATTATTATTATTATTATTAATTAGACTTTCACACAACGTGGTAGCACACTTGTCTCTTCTTCAAACTTTGTTAAATTTATTTTGATCGGACAGGATTTCGATTACATCGCGTTCGAATTTAATTGAAATAAAAGACACTTCAATAAATAAATTTATGCGAATATTTTAGCGTAAATCTTGTACGCGTTTAAAACTGCACTATGCGACAAAAAAAGAAATATTATTTGCGCAGAACAACCCAATAGTAATGCATTTAATTTAATCGTTTCAACTAAGCTGTTACGATTTTTTTCTTCTTCTTTTTCTCTTTTTTTTTTTGAAACACATATGAATGATCTGAAAAAAAGAAGTAAAATCTTTCGAACAGATAGATTAGGTACAGTTGGTTTGCACCACGCAACGCGTTGCAGTTGCTTACGTTTCTTTCAATGATACTTGCTTGCTTGCTTGCTTACTTGCTTGCTTCCCACATGTGATCCGATTAAGGGATGCGCATGCGTTTCTTGCGATCAATAATACAATGATCTTCTTTTACCGACGTGCAGAAAAAAATAGATACTAATGACATCTAGTAGAAAATTTAGGTTTTTGTTAAAAAATTTCTATATATACTAGAGCCCAATAAATTACATTCTATTTATTTTTTTATTTATGTTTTTTTTTTTTGGTTTTTCAGTTTTTGTCTCAACAACCAAAAGAAAGTAACTCTAAACTTTGTTTCAATTAAGGTAAATAGTTAAATTTATGTCTTATATATATTTTAGTATTTAATATTATTATTTACTTATACATACACACAGGAACATGATGTTAAGTATATTAAATTAATTTTACCAAATGGTAAATTTATGTCTCACGATTACAGTCATCAGTCAACACTCACAATTTTTTATCCCAATAAACGACATGCTAAAAGAAGCATAAGGTTTCAAAAAAGAGATTTATTTATAAAATAATTTTTTTCTACGCGCGTACGTATTTAATAATTAGTATTTTAATTACAGAGCATATATCCAATAGTTAATATTTTGGGCAAACAATGATAGATTAACAATGTGCATTTAGTGAGCAATAAGTTGCACATATTAGTTTCTTACTGCCGTAGGTTTTCTACGCTGGCATAATTTGCATTAAGGGTAAAAATTGG